TAATCCAAACACTACACCACTATCTAGTACTTCTACTTCTCCAACTCAGGACAATCCTACACCTTCACCATCCTCTTCAAAGAAGATTTGGAGGAGGAAGTGTACATTGAATTTCCTCCTAGCATTGACAAACCTGGCTATGTTTACTAGTTAAGGAAATCCATCTATGGTCTTAAATAAGCATCTAGAAAGTGGTTTGCCAAACTTACATCTGTTTTGTTGGCTTTTGGTTATACTCGGTCCCAAAATGATCATTCAATGTTCTTACACCACTCAACATCAGGTACCTCTGTTTTATTGGTTTATGTGGATGATATTATAATAGCTGGAGATGATAAAATGGCAATGCAGGCTTTGAAGCATCATCTTAGTGATCAAGTTACACTATTTTCTTGGGTTAGAGATGGCTAGATCCAGGGAGGGATTACATATATGTCAGAAGAAGTACTGCGTGCACAGATTTGCTAAATGACACTGGATTTGCTGATTGCAAACCAGTGGTTACACCAATTGATATGAAAACAAGACTTGCAGCAGATGATGGACCTCTCCTTGAAGACCTTGGACTTTACAGACGAATTGTGGGAAGACTACAATATTTGACAATTACCAGACCAGAGATTACCTTTGTTGTGCAATAACTTTGTTAGTATAGTGCAACAGCAACTATGACACACATGCAGTTAGCAGACAGGGTTCTCAAATACCTGAAGAATGCTCTTGGTCAGGGATTATTTTATTCTTCTTCATCTTATCTAAACCTGAAAGGGTACAGTTATTCAGATTGGGATCATGCCCTGATACAAGACGATCAACTACAGGTTATTGCATTACATTTGGAACTTCACTGATTATTTGGAAATCTAAGAAACAGGGGACTGTTTCTAGATCATCTTCAGAGGCAGAGTACATGGCTCTAGCTCAGCTGACATGCGAAGTTGTGTGGGTTAAAAGGTTAATACAAGAACTTGGTATCGATCATCCTCAACCTGTTAACCTGTTTTGTGACAGTCGATCTGCGATTTACATTGCAAAAAATCTTATGTTTCATGAGAGAACGAAACACATTGAGATCGAATGTCATGTGGTTCAACAATTCCTCCAATCCAAGCTTATTTGATTAAGTCACTTGGATACTGAGAATCAGATTGCAGATCTATTTACCAAGGGGCTTAGTCGATTTCAATTTCATTATTTATTGTCCAAGCTGAACGTATAGAATCTGTATGCAGCAGCTTGAGGGAGGATATTGAAGATTGCAGCTAAATTGAACCACAAAAGAAGCAAGCAATGATGAGCCTCTTACACGACGCCGTCTCCCTCGGAAGCAATAGAAGAGCTGAGCAAAAACGGTAACGTATAAGTTGGTGCTTGAATTTGTTTCATTTTTTACTGTACAGGGACACGTGTTATTATTTCATTAGTCTTGTATAGGTTTCTGTTTGTTACCGTTAGTTTTTCATCTTTGTAAGTAACTTTACTCATTCCCTTCGTTGAGAAGGTATCTGAGAGTATATAAGAGGCCTCTGAACTAACTTGGATCCCTACTGGTTTCCATTCCAATATCCAGAACCCTAATCCCATAAGTTTCAGTTCATGTCCAGAGCAATTGCAATTGAAAGTCGGAAATCCATTACATAGAGGGGGCCGAACGAGTAGAGTAGTTTCTCACAGGCAATGGAAACATAATATAACTTTAATGAAGACGCATGTGATATTGTCAACGAAACCTGGATAGGATAAGGATTATGATTCCATCAATGATTATCTATGCGTAGCCAATAACAACAATGGTACTGGGAAATGGAGATGTGGTGGCCGGAAACCATTTTTATGATATCTCACTGATTTAAGGGAGAGGGAAAGCGTTGGAGCTTGAGACCATTACTACTAACATGGGAGTTGAATTGGGGATCCAGTATTCCCACGAACACAAAGTTCCTTCTCAAAATTGGTCTAGGAGAAGCAGTTCCCGAAGCTTCAAAAAACTTCTGAAGTCACGGCCGAAGGAGGGGATGTTGGGTGGCGGTGGTGGTGGCGGATAATGGCAGGAACAAAGGCGAGAAGGGAATAGAATCACAAGATCAACCTTTTATTTAGCCACATGGTGGTTGTATTTGTTAGGGCGGTACGTTTTTGTAATAAAAAATAGAAGGATAAAAAAGGAACTTTTAATTTTTAAGTTAGGGCGATTAAATGATTTAGGGTGATAATTAGCAACCCCCTTTCTTTCTGCCCAAGGCAGTTGTAATCCAACCTAGTATCGTTCAACCAGAGATTCCATCTGGCCAATTCACGGCCACACATGATATGTAGGGGGTGTACATGTGTCGGGTGGTCCGAGTTTAGTCATTTTAATCACCCAACCCATGCACCCAAAAAAAGTTAAACCCTACGGTTTGTTTCTAATTTGGTTGGGTCAGGTTGGCGATATTCTTAAGTAAAAATCCAATCCAACCCAACACAAAAATATATAATTATTCTACACCATAAAATTATTTATAACTAATTAAAATTCACATGAATAAACCGAGGTAAAAGGTATCAAAATTCACAAATGTTGTTTGAATTTTAATAAAATATGATTTACTTCAACATATGTATACTTTTTTTCACGACATTTGTTGAAATAGGTTAAAAGGTTATAAACGAACGCATCCATAATATGTTATTCTATTAAAATTGTACACAAGAAAAATGATTACGTGAATAATAGCTATATTAAATTTATGTCTAAACTTTAAGTCGAAGAATGCATTAGATTAGGGAGACCATGAGAGAAAAACATGGCGAAGTATCTTCATTTTCTCATAAGTATGGCTATATACGACATAAATATTTTTTGGATTAGAACTCATACCAATAGTTGGAACACGGGTTGGGTCGGGTTCTACAAGTTGTGTAATCCAAAATTCAAACCCAACCCAAAAGAGGCGGGTTATACAAAAAAAAACCTTCACCCAACCCAAAACCTTCATTTTAGCGATAAATACGGGTGGGTTGGGTCGGGTTGGACAAGTGGATCAGTTTGCGGGTGTGTTTGTTCACCCCTAATGATATGGTCCAACTTCTGAAAGTTAGTTATATTTTCTTTAGTAAAGATGTTAGTGATCCAAGTACTCACTCAAACAAACTTCCTTACAATGGCAGACTCTGTTACACCTCCAAATGTTTCAAGGGATGGAGTTAATCTAAGACTTTTTCCTCACTCTCTATAAGGATGGTTGAGGTCTTACCCAGCTGGAAGGATGACAAGATAAGAGGCAACATCATCAACTCAAGAGGATGGGGGAAAATTTGATAAAGCAAGGACATTTTGATGATTTGCTCAGATTAATGTCCACATCACGGTTTCAACCTAGAGTAGGTAGCAATCTCACTGGTTCTACGACGGCCTAGACGCTAACACAACCCAATATTATGACCAATTTACAAGCAGAGGCGTCTCTCAATTAAATTTTGAGGGTGCAATGGAGCATTAAGTCTCTATGGCCAGTTGATATGAGCATAGAATTGATACTCGTAGTTATCAAAGTCAGCGCAACCTCAAAATTTTTAGGGTTTTCTGATATTTTCTCAACAAGACAAAAAATAAAAGGATAGGATGGAATTAAAGTGCAATCTCACACCTGGGAGAAAGCTCTATCAATATAAAAGTAGAAGCTCGACCACAATCAAGGGGATTACTCGATTGATACAGAGACAACACTCAACGCAATTAGAGTCCACCAATGACGAGAGCAAAATTCACAAGCAAAACGCTCAATGAACAAAAGGGTTTTTCAATTAATCAAATTTTCTCAATCATGTTGAGTTTTGTGAAACTTTGCCTTCAAATATGGGGAACCTTTCATTTACTAACTTTTCAGCCTTTCGAACCTTGAACCTTGGTTCACTTACTGCAACTATACCTATACAATGTTTATTTACTAATAGATGTAATGCTTTATTTTTTTGAGCTTTAAAACTTTGTGTATTATATGTAAGTACCTTCATTAACGCTTACCTCCCCTACCTCATTAACGCTGACCTCCCACAGTTATCCAAGGATTCTGATGTATTTCCTTCTCTGTTGGAGTGTCTCTCATTATTTGGTGAACTTACTTCCATAGCCGTTTGTAAAGGAGCATCAATGCTTCCAGATAAAACTGACGACCCTTTTACAAAATCACAGTTTTGATTTCCAATTGTATCTACATAAGAATTTTCAGAACCTTCAACAACCAAGCTATCTATTTCCTGTGTACCAAATGTCCCAACATCCGCATTCACATGCAATTCACTCATAATCACTTTTTTTTCAATTTGCACTTTTTAACCCACTTGCACATATTCACCAACACGAATGGGTTGATCCAATTGAACCAATCCTTCACTTTCTGATCGTAGCTTAGGCACCCTTTCTACCCACTTTTGGCTATATGTTTGCAATCATGGCTATAGATCTCACAGGTCAGACAAACCAATGGCTTGTTTAGATATTCAACTTCCACATCAAAAGAGGGATCATAATTATGGTATAATCAGATGTGAGTCGGAAAACCACAATCAGATTGACAAAAAATTTAGCAAACCCTAATTGATTTCCTACTCTAGTCGTCTGGTCCATCCAAACAGGATGACCTATTATACTAGCCACCTATTCAAGACCTTAAAAAAATGATATTCAAGGGGAATGCCCCAGATACGTATCCAGATTTGTAGAATCTCCACTAGAGAAGCAACAGGTTGAATTTCAGGCTCCTACTATTGGAAGAAGATATGATTTCCTTGAAGGAGCGAATGGGTCTTCCAGATTTGATTCTTTTTCTTAGTTAGGGTAAAAAATATTTAGTCCCTCTGCAAAGCGCAAGCATTGACTTGTTTTCTTTGAAATAAATTAACAAAAATAGTACAACCAAGTATACTTCCCTTGAGACCCTAACATATCACATCTACTATTTTGTATCTTCCTACCTAAGTTACATCTCATTGTAATGCCCACTTCTAACATTGAGATTTAGCACATTGACACACTCAAACTTTAGCAACAAATTTAAGGGGGAAATAAATGAAAACTGAATAGTTTATGTCATTCACAAACTACTCCCTAGATTCCATCGAATTCAAAACCCAACTATACAACTAAGGAAAGCTTCACCATTCTCTTAATTAGCATCAAGTATCAACATCGGTATATGTTCATATCTAGCTACAACAACATTAACAAAAAAACAAAATAATTCCTATCACTATAGTTTTCCAGATCGAACTTTATTAGGTCTCCAAGGGTTGGCAATAGTACTTGATGCGCCCGTTACCGTGGACATTGCATCGTCTGTAACCGATCCCCTATCATAAGAACCACCATAATCTGCTGACATGTCTAATCTCTGCTGCTGCACAACCAGAACCGAAGCTTGGCACTGAGAATCTGAAGCGACCAAGATATCCCCAACAAAGCCCAACTCAGGGAACTCCGAATTCCACTCCGCCAATCCTTTGTATATCACTGATTCCCTATCGTGATGCCTCCCTACCAAAATCAAGTCAAACCAATTCTCACAGCGTCGAATCACGTTCACCATCTCCACACTATCGCTCACGTTCTCTTCCATATAAACGTGATGCCTCCTCGCAACTGTGGCGATCTTGAAGTCGCAGACGAGTTGATAGTCCAACTCAAAGTCGACACAAGAGTTGACCGTGGTGGGCTGGTAGTCCGTCTCGACAACATGGACTAGCGTGACTCCGACGCTAGGCTTCTCTCCCATGCGCATTGCGTACGCCAACGCCTCCCTGTCGTCTCTCCCCTGGATGAAGATGACCCCAATGCTGCACAACAAAGCGGTGGCCGTCTGGATGAGGCACCTCTGCAGCGTGCCTCGATCAACGTAAACCCCGACGGAGCAAGGAGACTTGTGGAGGATGTGGCGGTTCACCGACCTGACTTTTGGGTCGTCCTCGAACCCGTGAATCTTCCACTGCCTGTGGAAAGGCAGGACCAGCATGGACGCTCTCTTCTCCAACGAAATCCTGTGGACCTCCTCGTGGACCGTGTTGAAAGGCGAGATGGCCGTGAATAGATTCACCGAGAGGTTGCCCCCCGGGTTCTGTTCCTCGTAGAATCTGAAGGCGTTGACAATGTGGCTCGAGCTCTGGGCCTGGGAGCTGATGGTGCCACGACGGTGGTGCACTAGTATAGGGGACAACCGCCCCGCGAGCTCCATTAGGTGGATGACGTAGCAGCAAATCGGGGACTTGGTGGCCGGGTTGGACATCTCCAGAATGCTTATGAGGGAAGGAGTGCACTCCGGGTGGTAGATGCAAACCAGCATCCTCAGCTCCATATTTTGGGTGGTGTGTTGGATGCCTCTTTTCCATGATGACTTGAGACGCTTTGATGGCTGGTACAACAGTTTGATTAATGGGGTGAGCACTCCTGTCACCACCACTATTGCTGCCACCATGAAACTGTACGTTTGATCATCAAGAATCTACAACAATAGATAAATAAAACCATGCATCATGATTAATTAGTTTCGAAAATTGAATATATGACTGATTTATCTTAAGTACAATCCAAGTACCATATCGGAAATACAAGGGAAGAAACCTTTGTATATAAGTGTCAACCTAACCCAATTAGTACGTGGCCTTTTGGAGAGGATACCCAAGAGTAAAACCGTGAGGGCTTGGACCAAAGCGGACAATATCGTAATAATGAGTTCCTCGATTATGACAAGTGGGGTCCACCAAACTGATGTCCACCACCTCGAACCAAAACCAGGCTCTGATACCACTTGTTGAAATCAGGTCGCTCAATTAGTACGATATTATCCGCTTTGGGCCAAGCCCTCGCGGTTTTACTCTTGGGTATGCTCCCTAAAAGACCCCGTACTAATGAGCTTGGTGGACACTAATATACAAGGGTTCCTTCCTTTGTATTACTGATGTGGTACTTGGATTGTCCCATAACAATCTAATTATCTCAATAATAATAATAAAAAAGAGTGTTTAATTAGGGAACTACTTACGAATAACAAGCGTGCTTGTTGAAGCATCATGACATCGGTAATGCCTTGAGAGCTCATGACGAGTCCCAAAGAAAGTGCATCCATGAGAGGAATCTTGAAGTACATGGAAGGCACAATCACAGCCACAACCTTCCCCATGAAACTAGTCAAGCCCAAGGTAGCCACCGAGGTGACAATGCTGCAATCAACCGAGAAAACATTCACCCCGGCCACGCTGTACACAAAGTAGCTAGGGAGAAGAATCCAAGTCACGAAGGACTCCAGCCTCTGCACTATCGCGGTCCCCAGGGGCGGACCATCGGGCACCGCCAGCCCTAACACCACCGGGCCCAGCAAGAAATGTTGGCCGCAAACCTCCCCTGAGAGAGCCATCACGAGAACCATGATGAAGATGATGAGAATGTAGCCCTCCCTTATGGGCTTCCCTTCCGGCGTGTTCCGGATCATCACGTACATGATCGGCCTCAGCACCAAGATGACGAGCAACAACAGAAACAAAGACGACAAGTAGGTCCACATCATAGCCGTCGTAGATACGAAGTTGTCTTGCCGTGCGATGAAGATGAAAATGACCATCACCCAACTGCAAGTCCCGCTCACCATCGACGATGAAACCGCCAGTTGGCCCAGCTCGGAGTTAAGGAGGTTGAGGTCGGCTAGGAGGCAGGTGATGACGTGGAACGAGCTGACAGACTGGAACGCAGCCATGTGGTACAAGAGGTTGGGAGGCACGGGGCCCGAGTTAGGGTTTCGCTTCGCGAGGAAGCTGGCTGTGGTGAGGTTGAATGTTAGGGGGACGAGGAAGGAGAGGAAGCCAATGACTTCTGCTTTCTTCCCGGCTCGAATCAGCATGCTCATGTCCATTTTAGCTCCCACGACAAACATGAAGAGTAGGCAACCCAAAAAGGCGAATGTTTCGTTGATGTAGAAACTCTTTAGTGGATATAACGCCTTCAAGATTTCATTGTTGTGTCCCCACACGGATGGTCCCAGAAAAAACCCTGTCTGATTACAATCATCATCACCACACAAGGAAATTAACAAGACAATATTACAGATAGAAAATTAATTAGGTCTGAATTAAAGGAGGCTATCAAACAATATTAATATGTTTGATGGAACATTTGAAGTTGTCTGACTTACCAACATCATGGAAATGAAGGCGCTTTCTCCAAGAGGGGTGAGGATTGCATGGATGAGAAGGCTGAGGGAAGCGCTAACGATGAGTTGTGCCATGAGGACAGGGGCAGGGAAATGGAAGGGATTGTCCCCAAAGAACAACCCTCTCGATCGAACCTGGTGCATCGTTTGACACACCCATGTTATGTTTAGAGCTGCTTCTAATGATGTTGTGTTGTTGCTCATCGATCTCTTCTTTCACGAATCTCTCTTATGATACAAGCGAAAGAATTTTCAATTTTTTTCCAGAATTTTCAAACCTTTGTTGAGAAAAAATTAGATTCAAGGTTAAGGAATACGAAAGAAGAAAGAACATAGAGATTGACATGATCAGATTTTTCTCAAGAGAGATTCTTGATCCTCAAACATTCAATAATTTTTTCTTTTGTGCAAAAAGACAGAGAGAAAAAAAATTCTACCCTGCTGAAGAAAATAATTTTATACAGAAAATGAACACATTGGAAAACTCTTTTCTCATTAAAATTTGTTTAGCTATTGCTGAAAGGACATTTGTGTATTTCACTTTTTCCTAATATGATGTGAGATAGATCAATTAGTTTCTTTTAGCGAATTCTTCACTTCTTCTCTCATGAAAAGAAAATTTTCATCGAATTTCAATCATTGGTGCAATACGTGTAGATCAACTGTTTGACCACGTTGGTTCCCCAGTCGACCTTCAGGTGCAATCACGGGTTCAATATCTTTACATCACTCTCCACAATGTTGGGTTGAGGTATGAGATAAATCTAACTCTAGCTAGTCCACTACTCCATGGCATGGCCGACCAATTTTTTTATAAAGTAAACATTTTCATCGCCAGGTCAACCACAACATATAGGCGATCGAGTTTTCTTTTCATTTGCAATGGTTGAGTCTATGCTAAGTGTGATTGACTATTTTCTAAATGTGATGATTTTTATCTCCAAATTACGGTGACTTAAAAATGACCATAGGCATACCCATTAAATCCAATTAAAAAGAAAATAATGAGTTAAAAATATATAGTTAGATTTTATTTTGTAAATTATTATCTCACATACTAGTTATCAATAATGATCTCAAATAAAATGCCGAGGCCTTAGGAATGCTCAAAGAGGCCCATGCCTTGTCTATATAAGGGTAACTCATACACATTCAAATGTACAATGTAAGATAAGTTATCAAATTACAACTCCAGGTTTCGAGAATATCCCCATTCGTAGGCTTTTCCGGGCCTGTATCATTTATACTTATCATTTCCCAATAGATGTTTTACATATGTGATTACAAAGAATCTCAAAAGAAAAACGAAAGAGGTTTTCTTTTTGACAAAAGATATTGGGCTAATTCCACTAGGAATCACAAACTATCATAAAAGTGTCATTTGTGTTCTAGACTATTCAATATGAGAAATTTGACACAAACTATATGCGTTTCGTGACATTTGTGCCCTAAACTATTCAATATGATAAATATGGCACCAAACCACATAGATGCTGACTAGATTTACTGTTAAATACTAATGGTCAACGCTAGTCAATAATAGCGGAAAATAGTTCATGACATATTTGTCATATTGAATAGTTTATGATACAAATGACACTTTTTGAATAGTTAGGGCTTTCAAGTGGAATTAGCCCAAAGATATTGCATATGTCAACGATCAAGATGAGATACACTAGAGTCACATGGCTGTCAATTGTCAAACACAAAAATCAAACCCGTTCAAACTAGGGTATAGTGGAAGGATTGTTCTGGAAACTAAAATGGACCTCTCTATTGAGTCTGCGACCAACAAACTGGACACTAAACTTATGGAAAACGCTGATAGAGTAACTGGACATTCTACAAAATTGCTCCAGCTGCATGACACGATCCCTCTGTTCAGGACTCCCTTTGCATCTAGGGATGAAAATTATAGGTATAACCGCGGGTATCCAACCCTATCCAACCCGGTCAACAAGGGGAAACCCCACATTGACCGGGTATGGGGAGTATACGGGTAATATCCGCAAAGGGGGCGGGCATGGATTTGAGTGCCCCGCCCCATACCCATGTCCTCCCCGCCATTACTTATTCTGTATAACGTAATCCACCAATAAAGCCGAACGGTTATTGTAATTGTAAAACAAATTAGTACTAAAAGTTTAATTTCATGTAAGCCAGCCTAATTTCCTCGCGCGTCTCTAACTCTAGCCCTATCTATTCTCTTCAAGTCTTCATCCGTAAAGTTTCCCCTTCCTTCACTCGACAAGGCAACGCTTAAACCTCCTCTCTCACGTCCTTATTTGCCGCCGCTCCTAGCCTCTTACATAGAATCTCCATAGAACACCACCCCTCCTTGACCCTTTGTTGCCTTCCTTCAGTTCGTCGGTTCTTTTGCTCATCGTTCGTTCAACAGTGTACTAGTGGTAATAACATTCTGCTCATACTTCTTTCCTTTATATGTGGATTTTTATAGTTTAGTAGGTGTTTTGGAGATGAATAATTTGGTGTTGGATTATTTATTGGTACTTTGTTTATGGAACTTCGTAGGAATTGGATGATCTAATTAAGATTACCGGTTGTTTTTTATTAGTTTCATCATTGATTAGGTTTGATGTTTCAAACCAGTAGTTATATATTTTGTTGAATTCAAGTGTGTTAATTTAGTTATAATCATAATTAGATGTACGGAGCGGGGATTACTCTCAGTTATCCAAAATCCTCGGGGATGGGGATGCAAAATCTCCCCGCGCATGGGGATGACGAGGGAATGGATTTGATAAATGAAAATGAGTATGGGGATGGGTTTATTACAATCCGTCCCAAACCCGACCCATTGTTATCCCTATTTGCATATCCTACAAACACCACATCCTATCTCCAAGCACCAACGAATTCCAGCCATGAGCATTAATAGTAATGGGTTATGCTTTGTGCAGGAAAATGTTTGATGGGGAGATGAAGTCGATGGATAAGTTAATATGAGTGTAGTCTTGAGTTTTGGTAAAAATTATTATTCCGAAATAGCTGATGGGGATTAGCTATTTCGAAAATCCTCAATTGCATGTTATTAAAATCACTAATTTTAAAATATACTATTTTCTTGAACGAGTGGTTTAGTTCAAATTAAGGTCAATGAGAGATAGTAGTGAAATCTCACATTGAAAACCCTCATCCAAACTACCCTTTATGTATTTGATTGGTCCATACTAGGTATTTTTGTATTCTCCAAATAACATGTTATTGTATCTATCAAATGAAATGTGATACTTTTCGTTTGGTCATCACAACTAAAATAAACAAAGATCAAAGAATAGGAAAAATACTTCAAATGGATTTCTATAGAAATATGTAAAACGTTAGTACAAATCTTTGAGACCAAAAGGTTCTTAGGGGACCAAGCTGCAACTAACCACCTGCCGACCCAACAGGATTAAGCACATGACAATCAGAATAACCTAAAGAATAAACTGAACTTTCAATAAAGTCATGATTGTTTCTAGTTTCAGACAATAAAAGAAGGAAGGAACATGCGATCGAACTAATATAGATAATGATTGAATCATCAAGGTTGGTCCTGAACCTTGAGAATTCCTAGCTATGATAGTCACTTGTCCTCGTCAATCACTATTGGCCTACTTCATAGGGGTTGATTCTTCATTCATTCCATCTGAAATACACATGCGTCACTACTTCTCTTGTAGAACAACATCCTCCATCTTTACAAACGATCTCTTGAATTGGCCCACATCCATATCCTCATTAGTGAGCTCGTGTGGAAATATGGTCTAGGGCTATCTATTCCAGGACCACCATCCTCAAAATTTGAGTCCCTCCTCAATTGAATAGCCTTTCCCTTTCATTTTGTCTCGCGAGGAAAATGTTTCCATTTAGAGGTTCTACCCCTTCTGGGTTCATCATTGACCTTCGTGATGCGAAGTGGAGGCAGTGACGACATAGCCCAAACTATTGTTGCTTTAATTGGATCATTGATTCAAAATTAAGCGAATCTATGAACCCTCTGTTCACGAATGAGAGAAATTGGAGGGTGGAGAAAAACCAAGGAAAAATGGAAGGATTCAAAAAATTGTCATGTTGATAAGTTTTGCCACAGTACATGTGAGGCCCTCTCCACATGCTTTCTCATTGGACACCCATTATGCGTGCAATTTCTGCTCGTACTTCCTCCACCTATATCCATCGTCTAGAATATTAATATTGCTCGTCGTTTGTACCACCATCCGAAGCGTGATCAATTTCGTGCGTCGGAAGTCTCGAACTCGAAGATAAATCAACTACAAATCTTAAGAAGAAGCAATAAAAGTACAACTAAATTATTATTAATATACTGATTTCTTATTCATGAATAAAACATATAAAAAAGTACATATTTATCGGACAAATCCCATAAATCCTTCCCCTCTCAATTAAGGTAAACTAATCTTAAACCAACAAGTAAATAATAACTTTCTAAGTAAAACATAATTAATAAGAATAGTCCTAAACATAAACTAATACGAATATCCTAGATTAAACAAATAACCCAACAATCAACTAATACAAACACTACTAATATAATAATACTATAATTGGCAATGTGAGCCTTGGAATGCATTAATGCATCAGCCCTCTCCTTAAAAGAATTTTGTTCCCGAAGTTCGGACATCTCAACCAGGATCGATAATGAAGATGCTTCCCCACTTGTTATTGACGAGAATGAGGCTTGATGACGAGCATGAACTACCCCAACATATTCTAACATGACTACCTTCACAATGAGGAGAATGAAATATTAACCTATGCCTATCAGATGAGGACTTCCTTTCCTTCATGGAGAGGAGGAGACTTTTTCAAGATTCACCCATCTTTTACACTCTTTGGATAAGAAAATAGAAGGTCTCCTTCGTAGGTTCCCTCATTTCGTCAGTACCCTAGATATTTAAAGTGACAGTTGGGAATGACAAACCCAATGTCAACAATGATATCCTCTTTATCTCCATCATGAACATTTGCACTGAAGAATATGGGGGATTTGTTGATATTAACTTCATTTTTAGTTATTTCTCCATAATCCTTAATGTGGTCCAACATTCTCTCAACCTCCTCCTATTGATTGGCTTTTCTGAAGATAACCGTATCATCTACAAAGAGGCCAAGAGTGAGGAGGAGGATCGAGCTTAATAATTTTGTACGATCTTTAAAATTGCATTTTCAATAAGAAATGTTAGAACATTAAACATTAAAATGATCAAAAGAAAAGGGGATAGACGGTCTCCCTAACCAATGCCCGGGATTGGTAAAAAGGCTCTATGGTTTCTCTGTT